GAACAGGGCAGAGACCCGGACACAGAGCTTCCATGTTTCACAGCCTGACACCTATCAGTCATTTAAGAGGAAAACATTTGTATTGCAGATGATGAAAGTTGAAAAAAAAATCAACTTTTGTAAGAGAGTATAATGATCACTGTGTCAAACGCTTTACGAAAATCAATATACACATCACCAGTTACTTGACCTTAGTTCAAAGCAGCACGTATTTGTTCAGTGAATAAAATTAATGCAGACATGGTTGACCTTGACATGCGGAAACCATGTTGGCTATTGCTTAGCATATTATTAGCTTCTAGATGCTGAAGTAGTTGATTAAATAATGTTTTTTCAAGTAAATTCAACTTGATTAACAATTATTACATCCACATGATTAACAGTTATTACATCCACATGTACACAATTAGATAAAGGACACTTAAAGTTGAGCCAAAAATTTCTTTAAGAGGAACAGATTGACTTTTGCTGGATGATACGATCACTAGTGTAACACACAGTACACAAAGTGTGTATTTATACATAGAGTATTTTATGAATGACGACTGGCTCATCAGTCGTTTTCAGCTTCTAACAATAATTCTTTTGCTTGGCACTGCGCTGCGTGTGTGTGTGCAGCAGCAGCAGCAGCACCTACACAGGGGTTCCACAGGGGCTTTCCAGAGGGAGCTGACAGACCGATCAGGACTGTGCCAGTCCAGGCCACCCTGAGTAAAGTCATGCCCAGTGGTGAGCAGCACTAATCTAAAATTTAGTTCCACTGGCTGTAAAACACTAACTCTAATTAGGTCCCCTAATTCTAAAGCACTAAAATATCCCAGTCAACCATGAACATTCATCAACAGACAACGAGTCACATACCATGTTGTTCTCTTAAGACTTATCACTGACACTCAGCTGGATTTGTGTTCATATATTGTCACCTGGTGGATCAGTGACATATATATGAACAAAATGTGTGACACTTTTCACCCTCAGCTGTTACCATWAACATGGCTCAATACCATTTATAGGCCTCAGTTAGTGCTTCAAAATGTAGCAAGTGCTAATCCACTAATAAATTTTAAAATGAGAATGAAATCTAGAATGGAGGACTGCGGCGGGTACACGCTTTACGCGCAGACACACATGCACACAAGTTTGTTTTTATTTCCCCATGGGGACTGTGGATTGACTTCCTTAAATTTTTTGGTAATTTATATCCTAACCCTGACCATTTACCCAAAGCTAACCTCACTGACCCTAAAACTAACTTCAACTCAATTCTCACCTTGGTCATAAACCAAACCCCCAAAATTAACATACATACCCGTGGGGACTGAGTATTGGTCCCCATGATGCACATTTGGTCCCTATGAAGCTGCCTTTTTCTTGAAAATGGTTCCCACGATATAGCAAAAACATATCCCCCCGCCACACACACACGATCACTCGTTCTTTGTGAGTGACAAACATATTTTACTCCCTTACATACCATATTTATTCATGTATAATACGATCTCATGTATAATACCCCCCTAGCTTAAAAAGCATAGAAAATTAATTTCTCATATTACATCTGATTTCATATGGACTAAAGAATTTTTCATGCTTTATAGTCTTAATGCATATCAATTTAATTCAGTTTATTTATAG